GTCTTAAATGGTCTAATAATAAATAAATAATCTTGTGTTTTACTCAAGCATAGCTGCAGAAGATAGCTTACATACTAGTTGTACTCATCAGACACTTAATTCAAAGCAGAATGAGAATGAGCCAATAAATGAAAAACTAAATGAGAAAATTAATATTTGAGGAGGACAAAATAACAGTCTTGTTATTCAATCTCTAAATTTGTTAAGATTTCTCCTGGGATAGTTAGCTTACCATAAACCCAGAAAAGTCTATGAACCTTAATAATACGTAGCACTAAAAATAACACTTTAAGTTTATTATATTTTGAGGTGTGAGAGACCCACTTGAAGAACAGCTCTACAGTTGTGAAACCTCTAAAAGACATTGCTTATGATTTTGCTTTCTATGTGATGATAAAAGATCAAGATGGTAAGTGACAAATTTTGGTTTAAATAAATCCCATTCTGATAAAATGTTAATAGTTGTATTGTTATAGTAAAATCTGACAAATCTGTTGCCCTTATTGTCTTGACTTTATGAAATTTCAGAACCAAAGTGTAAAAGTCAATTCTAGTAACTATATTAGTCTTCATATTTAATTGCTTTATTTTTCCTTCTATAGTAAGGTTTCAAGGTTTGTATTTCTTAAAGATTGCATTATACATATGATTTTTATTTTAGTTTTCTACTTTTATTTTTAAATTGCTGTAAATTAATTATAGAAGGCTGAGTATTTGCTCTAAATAAATATAAATGAAAATATTTACTAATTTATACATCTTTTAGTAAGACACTGTTATGGGTTGAATTATGTAAGTTAAAGTCCTCTATCTCCAGTACCTTAAACTGTGGCCTTATTTATAAATAAATCACCTGATTTATTTAAGGTGATTTAAATTTACTTATACTGCAAGTATAATTTGCTGAGTAGGTCACTAATGAAGCATGACTACTGTCTTACAAAAAGGAGAATTTCCGAGACAGATATGGACACAGGAGACCACCATATAAACATGAGGTAGAGGTCAGGTGATGCTACCACGGAACATGAAAGCTTGCTAACCGCACAACTAAAGCTAAGGGAGAAGCATGGAAACCACACTTCATGAGCTTCAGAAGGAACAAGTCCTGCTAAGGCCTTGATCTCTGACTTTTAGCTTCTAGAACCACAAAGAAATAAATGTTGTTTATAACATATTGTTTTCTTTTAACAGCCTTAGCCTACTTATTATATACACTATTTTTCTCACAACAATTTTGTATGTATTTTAATGAAACCAAATACTGCCATAATGGTAGAAAAGTGATAAACCTCAGAATACTATAGTAATTCAGCTCCTTTTTAAAGAGTACAGCAGTTTTAATACCCATCAAAGTAAGATTTTTATTTAAATTTTAAGTAAATATAATTTACATTAAAACTTTATTTTTAGTATGTGATTTTATGGAGAAATTAGTCACTTTTCTGATGTAGAACAAGGTGTTTAGGAAAACATTGGGATATGAAATCTTTTCACTTATACTTGGTATAATGATTTGGAAACTATTTAGCAGCAACTATATATGTTTTGAAACTTATGTGAAAAACTGTTTCTTTCTAGTTTTCTGCTCACATGTCATATTATCAACACACTTCTCATAAGGAATGAGCATTTTTCACCTTCAATATTAGCAAATGTTTCTGATTATGCATTACCATTTAAACCACATGCCATAACTTTCCTTATGAAGGTAGCATAGAACATATTCAAGGTTATGATTTTTACACCAATTTTAAAACAAGCAAAGTTGCTTGTTTTAGGTTGCCATCTTTAAACATTGCCTTTTTTTTTAAGTGCCTTAAAAACATTTTTAAGAATAACACTTTAAAGATACTTTAATAAGGAAAACTACATAGGATATAAAGGATAAATCTAATCACTGAAGCAAAATATAATAAATGTGAACAGAACAAACAGCAGAGAAATTTTTGGAAAGGATATTATTTAAGGTATACTGGAAACAAAAATGAAAAAAAAAAGGAAAAAATTTAAAAAAAAAATTAAAAAAAAATTAACTTAGAAACCTATCAACCAAATAACCATGAGTAGATCATCTTTGGATTCTGATTTGTATAAGAACAACTGTAAATAGAATTTATGAGACAATGAGAACATAGAACATTAACTGGATATCTGATATTACATATTCCCTTTCTTCCTTAGCAAAGAATCCTCTACTTTCAACAGAATACCTGGCCAATCAGAGCAAAGATGACATTTGCAAACACTCAAGAGTGCATAATAAAAGCTTGAGCCACTGAAGTGTTAAGTGAAAGCATTGTATGTTAGTGCCCAAATGAATGGCCTGAAAAGACATTGTTTATACTATTTACTTCTCTCCTAATTTGAAGACTTCTTGCTGCCAGAGATGACTGGAACTCTTAACTTTGGAAATTAAGCTTTATCTTGTTTAAACAACCACTATTTAGGACTTTTGCTTTAATTTGAAAACAAACTTTGCATTACCTGATACAAAGCCATGTTCTCATACTATATTAATTTGAGATTAAATAGTTACTCAACATTAAGTAAATGGCAGTAAGAAGCTAGATAGAAAAGAATCCTAGAATGAACCATCACAAATATTATTCCTACCATTTTCCTCCTAACTTCTATAAAAGAGGAATTTAAAATCTCCCACATAGGGATATTATGATAATTAGTATAAATAGATTAATCCATACATTTATTATTCCCTTATTTTCAGTCAGAAAACATGTATTAAACACTTACTATGTGTCATGTACTGAATAAGATAGAAAAAATCCCCTCTGTAATAGTTTACATTTTTGTGAAAAAGTAAAAGGTAGTGAGTTCTTATTTAATAAGGGAAAAATGCACAAAGAACTCAGCTAATGTACTGATGACACCTTACCATCAAAAACATAAATCAACAATAATTTAAATTCTTCTTTAAAATGAAGGCTCTGAACAAGAACCAGAAATTATTTAATATTTGCTACAAACAGATCAACTGTTTTCATGAATCTTTGTAAAGAGACTGTTTCATTCACTTGACTTGTCACATCCCTAACATTTTGAAATTTAATTTTTACAGAATAAAACTGAACACAGAAATGACTGTGATAAGTAAAAGTTCTGCTGAGAAATGTACTCAAAAAACACAAACTCTAATTGAGTCTTCAGGAACAGGTAACCATCAGATAAAGAAACTGTTGACCAATCAACAAACAGTAATAAAAATTGTGATGTCTAAATAAGACATAGTAAGCCAGATAATGAAAAGGCCCAAGCATTTACTAAATTTGCTAAGCACATTTGTATTCCCAATCCAAGATAAAAAACTAATGGGGAACATGTGGCTATGAGAAGTAAATATCTACAGAATGATCTAGGAATGAGACATTAGTTCACTGGCTCAAAGCCAGATCAAATATGGAAGATAACCCTGTATGAAAAAAAAAAGTAAACTATAGGTGAAGAAAACCTAAGGGCAGAAAAACAAGTCATTTGTTTTCCTTATGAAATGATGCATATTGACAAACCACTTGCAAAGTAGTGGCTTTATGAATTTCTTTGATAGAGCTCTAGAGATCAAAGAATTACTACATTCCAAGAAAGAAGCAGCTTAGCCAGTTCAAATATAAATCCTTCCAACAAGACTTTTCATATAACTCATGCAGCGGAAATGTATTACAGTACAGTAGCAAAACTGCATAAGAAAGCTAAGAGTATTGATACAATCAATATATGTGCCAAAATAACGTTATAAATATTGTATTTATAATAAAGTAAGATTATTCCAGTAAGATAATGTGGTATTTTTAATGTGTACGATACATGGAAGGGTGTTAATATTACAGAATTTAAAAAAATATTCAGATATATATATCTGATTCCCAGAGGATTCAAAATAGTTATGATGTATATTAAGATCTTCACTATATTTTAACATACTTTTATATACTTATAATTTGCTGAATTTTTTTAGATAAAGTTGAAATGTTTAAATAAAAAAAAGGTCCATTTTTTAATATAAAAATATAATCACAAAAACTGTTAATATTATGTAATGTCACTGCTCAATCTCAATAAAGCTTAAGGACAGCAATTCTTTATGAAAATGAATTTTAAAGTACAGCCACAAACTATTCATAGAAAATAAAGCACAAATGGCACAGATTCTCAATCTGTGGTCCAAGACCTATTCCAAGAATATACTGAAAATCTTATTTAAAATTTTGGGTTTTGTCTTTTACCAGATTCTTAAATGGGTATGAGACTTAGAGAAGAATCACTACACCTAGAACTGTGATGGTCTTACAATGAGCTAAACAATTTCACTAGTCCTTAAGTTACTCAACAACAAGTATCTGGACAACACTTCATTTTCACTTACTCTAGACTTAGTTCTACTGAAGCAGCTCAAAAAAGAAAAAAAGCTCAAAGGTGACACCAAAAACCATGACTCAAGAAATATAACTTAAACATGGGATTTGCTGCTGTAATCAAGTTCAGAGCAAAATCAAATCCTCAGACAGCTTCAGAATTAAAGTGAGAAGAGAATTTGCCAGATATCCCCTTAAAACCTCTTCTCCATTCCAAGAACTAATAACAAATTAAGTAGAACATGTCAAATATTCCCTGTAGAATCTTAAGGCTGAAATCTAAATCTAAATGCCACTCCCCCAAAGAGAGGCAGGGCACTCTTCCAGAGGGACAGGAATAGATTCCTCCCAATGCAAAGAAAGAGCAAAGCTAAGGTGTGAGAGGCAAAACACTATACCAGAACACGGAGGGAACTAGTCATTCTTATTGAGGGAGTGCTGGTGGGTGACCCAGATATAAAGAATCGCTGCAAGTGGTGGGCCCCGGATCTTAAGACCTGTAGCGAAAGGCAGAGGTGTTGGCAACGGCCAGACCTGAACCTCCTGGTGAGGAGCTACGTGGCACTAAGCAAATAGGGCTTTCCCCAACCCAGCTTCCGCCCCAACCCTTTTCTTTTTCCCTTTGGTTACCAGTTGCTCCAAATGCCGTAGAGTAGTTCCACAAAAGCGAAAGAGAGGTTCAGGCACAAGAAGAAAAACAGGTTCCGGGACGTCTTGTCCGACAGGATAGACCTGGGCAAGACACAAGTGGGGTAGAGCCAGGAGAATCAAAGCGGTGTCAGGACCGGGGACTGTGTCCCCCATTCAAGACCCTCCCAGTCCACCAGCGCCTTTCCTCGCGGCGAGGGCGGGTACTCCAGACGCTCCCTCCCTGGACTTCGGGCCATCCTTAGGTCTGGGCCTGCTCCCCTCCTGTGGGGCGCCCCTTCCCACAGACACAGCACCCCGCACCTAAACCAGCCCGAGATCTTGCCGAACAGATTGAACTTGGGTGGTTTGTATTCATCGTCCTTGATGGACAGGGGCAACATCTTCTCAGCCCGGCGAAAGGCCGGGTCTACTCCCCTCTGGAAGTGGCTCCGTGGGTGGTGGTCGTGACAATGGTGACGCCTCAGGCGAGAATCCCCAGCGCTCGTCCCGGGCCGCGTTCCGCACTGAGACAGACCCAGACACACTCTCGGGAACTCGCCGACTTCCGGCCCGGGCCGCGCAACGCGTCCTGGGACGGCAAAGGGGGCGGGGCCTGTGCGACGGTGGGCGGGGCTTATGGCGGGGCGGGGCAGCAGGTGCGGGGCGGGGCGGAAAGTGACAACTACCAGGTGATGTGAGAAACCCTCCACGGAGAGCTCCGGCGCCTGGAGTCTAAGGGAAGATCCCGCACTCCGGGCTGGCGGGGAGGTTCCTAGCGCATACCATGACCGCCTACCACGGTCGCTCCCTGATGCCCTGGCGCCCAGCGCCTGCCCCCTGCCATTTCCCCTGCTCCTATTAATCCAGTGTTTCGGTGCAGAGCTTAGGAATTCAGGCTGCCACGTGTTCTCCAGCCGCCAGCCCACAGGAAGCGCAAGTGATGCTTTTGCTGGGTGCACTCCACGGGCACCCAAATTCTAGTAATCCGCTCCACCCCCGCTCCCAAACAGTGCTTCATTCCTCTGCACTGCCTGGCAGTAGACAATCAATAAATGTTTGTCCAAAGAATGTGCAACGTGTTTTTAAAAAAAAACCCTTTCCAGGGAGCTACTTCGAGACACTGAAATGAGGTTTGACAAATGCAGTTTCGCCGACAACCTCCTGCCGCTGATCCCACACAACTTGAGTTGGTACGCGTCCCCTTCGCTTCCAGGTCATCCCCGCGGCCGCAGCGCGACAGTAACGCGGTCTGAACCTCACCGCCCATTTCAGGGCCCCGAGAAGACGCCCACTCGTTGGGAGAGGGGAGAGTGCGGGGACGGGAGGCCAGTCCGGAGGCCTGTCCTGGGCACCCACTGTCATTGGGGCGCCCCATCGCGCGCCTTGCGGGAAAATTGTTTGGGTAAGGTCTGTCACGTAAATGATTAGAAGTTGTTGCTTTGGGGAAGAAAGAAAAAAATGGCTTTTGGAAATAGGCTGTAAACTACAAAACCGAGCTTGTTGGGAACTGTAGCCTAACAGGAAGTGGGGCGTCACCGAAAGGGAGGGGCGGCCGCCGGGGACGGACCCCGCTTCAGGCGCTCACTTTGCGGGCAGTGATTTTTCCAGGGGATCAGTCCAGCGGATGGGGCAGGGTGAATGCATGCCGCTGCCTTTAGGAGTGTGGGGGGAATAGGCGAGCGAGACGCCTCTTCCGTTTTATGATAACCAAACGGCGGCTCTACTGCAGTCTTCTGCACTTGAGGTAAGGAAAATAGCAATTTGCTCTCGTGTTAAAAATTGCATTGAGGATATATGCACGTTTTGTTCTTGGAACTTTGTGCATGTGTGAGGTAGCGATTCAGTGGTTTTATTTTTTGCAAATCTAATTTTTACTTATCCTACCTTTTTTAAAAAATGCCCATGTTAATTGAAACTGTTGTGTAAAAACAGCTAAATTTCAGAAATTAAGTACTGGAAGAAACATTTTGTCTTTGCTATTCTTGTCGTATATTTCACTATTTTAACTTAAACACGGAAGTAAATCTTTTCAATTAGTTGCATTTACTTATATATTTTAGGAAGCTTACGTATAGCCATAGATTTTGAATTTTACTCTACTGCACTACTGGGAAAACAAATTAGCTTAAAGATAAATATTTACATGGCGATTGGGTTTTTTTCCCCCAAAAAACCTGCTTTATTTCCCTATGTTGTAACTTGGTGAGGGAGAATATTTAGAAATGACAAAATTTCAGAAACTGTTTTCCTGCTTTTTCTTAACTCAAGGTCAGCTGCAATTTAAGCCTGTATTTTTGTGTTTTGTCATTGAAAAAAAATCTGCATTTAATTCTATATTGAAAAATTGCTTAGCTGGCTTATGGAGAAATCAAGAATATCCTTTTTCAAGTAGTTTTGAAATAAGTTGGAAAAACTGAAGTATAATTTCAATTATATTGGTTTCCTGGAAGTCCCAAATTCCCCCAATCCTCACACCAAAGCTGTAAAAGTGATATGTCTGTGAGGGCCTTTTCCTTTCAAAGAGTGGCAATACCACTTAAACTCTTCCAGTACGGAAGGACATAATTACCAACTTCAATACGAAAGATATTTAATTGGAAATACAATTTGAGCACTATTTAAATCACAAAAAATTCTATGTGGGAAATGTTTGTGTCTCACTTCTTTTGTCATCCTGAAGGAACATCTGTCCCATGTATGTTAAGCAACATATGTTGTCATATTAAATCTAAAGTTTCTTTCATTCATTCAATAGTCATTTAATAAGTATCTACTACATGCTAGATTTTATGTGTAGCTAGAGATGAAAAGGAAGTGGATTAAGACATAAAATTCTTTCTCTGAACGAATTTTAAGAGAAGACAATTCTGCACTTTAGAACTACGTAATCTTTAAGATTTGTACCACAGGTATCCTTGATGTAAGAAGAGAGCCATCTGTCAATCAATGAATCTTTATATACTAAGCCATCCTTATGCCTCTCAATAACCTGCATCAAGAAAGAACATGACTTTGAAAAATCAAAAATGATGCTTTTCCTCCTTCAGAGAGTTGTTACAGATTTAGTGTCTCAAAAGGCTCCAATCAGAATTTTTAATTCCTTCATATATGACAAGATTAAATGGGTTTATAAGATTATAAAATACAGTAATGAACATTTTAAAGTAAATGGATTCCTACCCTGAACTTTTAGATATTTATTTAGATAATCTCCTACTAATTAGTTGCATTAGATTAACTACGCAGACTATAGAGTGTGAAAAACCCAGCTACTCAGACGTGTCATTGAAGATTGTGACAAACAAAAGCACAAAGAATTGAGGTGCACATGAAGCTCAACCCCTGCTTAGTTCCAGCTCCTCTTGAACAATAGCCAGTAAAGAGTAGGAAAGAAGCTATCTGTCATTTCTCAGTAATCAACCGGAAAATGTCATTTGTCTGTAACCCTATTAATTTAGACCCCAGTGTTTATTTTTAAGTTGCTTTAAATTGAATGCCCTGTGAATCTTTATTGAAAAAAGAAGTTGTAACTGTAGATGATCTTAGATACTTCAAAGTCTAGATTATTGAATACATATATAAATTGATAATGTTTTCAGAGGTTTTGTTTCCTGGTATATATGCTCTGGTTTTAAATGTGTAAAGACATTAGTTGGGATGATATGAGTCTATCCTGCTTCTGGATAGTTAAGGAAATGATGAAAACAAAAATATAGCAGTGTTAGTACCAACATGCTAACACTTACCTGTTGTCTAGTTGTAATTTTTCAAACACACAATAGCAATTTTTAAGTTCTAAATGTTATGTGAAGCCTAGAGACAATGGCATAAAAGCATTAAAAAATTTTATGTGGATTAACAAAAACATTACAGAAAATTATTTCATTTCCCTTAATAGTGACCAGAGAACCTGTTCCTATCAATTATTGAAGCCATAAGGAAATGTTTTATAAATATTAAACCTTTTCCATAATGAGGTAAGTACCTTTTGGGGGGAGCTTTTTAAAAATTGTGGTAACATGCACATGAGATAACATTTGCCATTAACCATTTTCCATATTCAGTAGTGTAGTGTTAAATTGTTCACATGTTGTTGAGTGACCAATCTGCAGGACTTTTCCATCTTAACAAAATTAAAACTATACAAATTAAACAGCTTCCCATCTTCTCTTCTTCCTATCTCCTGGAAGTACCATCTTACTATCTATTTTCTGAACTTGACTGTTACAGATAACTCATATAAATGGAATCATAAAATATTTGTCTTTTTATGACTGCCTTATTTTACTTACATAAGACCTCAAGGTTCATCTCTCATTTATTGGAATTCCCTTTCCTTTTAAATGCTGAATGATATTCCACCATATGTTTATACATTTTATTTCTCCATTTACCTGTCAATGGACATGCTTCTGTTTTTTGGCTATTGTGGATGATACTACTGTGAACACAGGTGTGGTACCAGAATTTTCATCAGAGGAAAATTATGTTTTGTAGAGGTATGTTTGCTTCTATGGAAATAAAAGTTCTTACTTGAGCCAGGGTCTATTAGAAAATACTGTCTGTCCTCTTTTAGGTCTTATCCATTGAGACATCAGTCCAGATTATGTAGTGAAATCAATATCTATAAAGCTGGAAAAAATCTTATAGATCTGAATAAAGCTGACAATTGGAACTATGCAGAGGACACTGAAATTACATAGTGACTCACTCTGAATCAGGAGATTTGCTGACCCACAGCCTTTTCTGTGGCTAAGGAAAAATCATTTACTATTCTCAGTTTTAGCTATACCATCTACAAGATAGAGTACATATATTTTAATCCCCTTCTTTCTAAAAATTTAAACTTTACTGATTTAAGATATCATAGAGCCTTTTTTTTTAAGATTTATTTATTTATGCATGTAAGAACTGGGGTATAGGACAGAGATGTGAGGGAGTGAGAGGATTCACCAGGAACAAAGTAGGGAAGAGAACAGGCAGGTCTACTGAAATACATGGCTGACAAGACAGGAGAGGTCTGCTGCGCCATGTGGGTCAGTTCCCTGGCTGGGGATCCAACTAATGCTGAGGTGGCTGGAGATAGCTTGAGAGTGCTGTGTCTTTAAGCCCTGCACCACAAGGAAGGCCCAATATGAAGCTTTAAACAGGAAGAGATTTGACAACTTGTATTACTATTGTCTAGTGGGAAGGTAGGAACTGAAACAGCCTATCTTAGCCTTCCAAAGGCCTGACAATGCTCTAAGCCTGTAGTAAACCTACCCTTTGTGATGGATAAATATACAGCATGGATGTTTTGAACTTCCTTTAATAAAATTAGAAAGCTCATATGAATTGGAGTTACTTGTATATTTGATTTGATATCTAAAACTATAAATTATATTCATTAGTATACAATAGATTTTGCTTAGAGAAGTGATTTTGAAATGTGATTCTATAGCTGAAAACCAGTATTACATAAAAGAGAGGAAGTTCTATACAATATTCTAGGGATCTATTCCTTATAATTGCCATTCCACCATTTTCCAGTAACTAAAGTCAGAAATTCGAATGAAAAACTGGTAGTCTGAAGGAAAAAAAAATATATATATATATATTTTGCAGTTGTACATGGTTTCTTTTTGACCCATTTCTGGAACTAATTTTGTATGGTATTGTGCTGAGAGCTAAAAGTGCTTTTCTATTTCTAGGTTTTCTTCTCGGGATGCTTTGACTCCTTGGGTCCTTACAAGGGTTGGATGTTCCTTTTAGGAGTAAAAATCACCTTACCTCTACCCTAATGTTTGGGCTTGGTCTTCTCCAGATATCAGCATCATTATCATCCCACCAGCTGTAACTAATTGGTAGTGCCAGGGAAAGATGTAGACCAGAAGGTATTTTTATCTAGTATGATTTGGAACTGTGGACTTTGGGAATACAGAATTTCAATAAAGAATCTCACTGTTTCCTTCAGTAACAAATGGCTGGGTTCAAGGAGTCTGTGCCTTAAGAAGATTTTGTAATATTTATATGTCATTTCCTCTTAATGGTGATAAAGCTTATCTTGCTAATTGATGATAGCTATCTGAAGAAATAGTGAGTAGGAATATATTGTGTTGTGAGGCTTAGGAGGAAAAGCAGTCTGACTTTGCTATGAATAATGGGGTAGGGTTGGGAAGAGAAGTAGCTACATAGGTTTTAAATGCTGTGCTGGTGTTTATTTTACCTGATTTATCTATAAAGGAATGGCTCACTCCTGTCTGCTAACAGGACTTTATCTTTAACTCAGCCAGTACAGAAATTACTCCTTTACAGCTTCCAGTGAGAAATGACTTGTTACAGCAGCCTCTCTGTCATAGAAAATGTAGTCATTGATCAGTATGTTTAGCAATTCTGTTTCAGTACCTTTGTTTCAAAATGCTGGAAGGACAGCACTAAACCAAAATGATGGGATTTATTATTTTTTAAAGATTTATTTATGTATGCATACAGAACTGGGGTATAAGCCAGGGGTGAAGGGGCGTTGAGAGGATTCACCAGACACAGATTGGGGAGCAGAACAGACAGATTGACAAAGAGCACTGCTGAGGGGAGCAGCAGGCGCGACAGGAGAAATGTGCCATGCCATGCCCGTTAGCTCCCTGGCAGGGATCAAACTTGTGCTAAAGTGGCTGCAGCTAGCTTCATAATGCTGTGCTTTAACCCAGTGCACCACTATTGTTAATGCTCCAAATCAGGGGACACTCAGAGACCCCAAACTATTAAGGGGTGCATGCTCGAAAGGGATTCAACTATCTGTGTGCACAAAGACAAAGGAAGCAGACTCAGTGTAACAGATTTAGTAGAGCTAATGTGCATAGAGGGGGGAGAGAGGATATTCCTAATAACAGTTTCCCCATAAAACTTCCCAAATTGGGCAGGAGGTTAGAGCACAGCACTGAGAAGCTAAAGCCACTGCAGCATGAGTTTGATCCCCGCGGGGGGAGGTGGCCCACATGGTGCTGCAGACACTTCCTGGCCATCCCACTACTCCACTCAGCAGTGTACTGTTACTAACACAAAATACTTTAACTTATTTTGATGTATTTAACATGTATTGGGAGTTCAGAAAACTCTGAGAATACATGGACTCTTTTGGAGTAAAAGTGAGGGTAAGTCATTTAGGAAGGAGAATAGAGAGCATTGAGAAAAGCTGAGTGGCACTTCTGAGATACAGTGAAAAGTGAACTTCCAGAAGCTGGGGAAAATACTAAAGGCAAAATCTCTTACCAGATTACTATGTAGCACCTGGAAAAGATTTGTGAAATTAAGTGACCTTCCATGTACTATCTTTGGCATTCTGTATTTTGCAGTGAAGCAAATTTTAGTTTGTGCTGCTTAAATATTTTATGGAAGAGACTTGCTGTGTGGGCAGTAGTGACCTGATTGGGACAGTGTCCTGACCTCATTTTCTTTTCCTGCCATCTGTCCTGAAGTCTATAGATTTTTTTTGGTCTATATCTGAGCCCAAATACATTTTCCTTTCTCAGCTAGGTTAGACATTGTTATCTGTTTAAATCATGTGTGATGCCTGCTGGATTAAGTGATAATGTTGATTTTTGTTCCTAAAAGAGTTTGGAGAAATTTTCAAGGATGATTTTCTCCCCAAGGCAAATCAATTCATTCTCCAACAGCTTCCATTGAACAGGGATAGTAAAGGCCCTTGATTGCAGAATATCCTGAAAACATGTGACGAAAGCAGTATTTAAGGACATCTTTAATATAGCAAATAGCTTGGTCCCAGAATTCAAAGGGAAAAGGTGACCAGTGCTTGAGTCCACATCTCCTGACTTGCTTGAAAATCACCAACATGAGTGTAAGAAGGAAACTAACCTTCCTCTACCCAGGTGCTGGGTTCATAAAATCAATTGACACTGACTGGAGTAATAGAGGAGACAAAAAAAGACAAACTAATGAGCTATCATGCACATGTGGACTAGAGGGTACCTACAGAGTAAGCACCTGCCTTTTTTTGCTTTTCACTCTAATGAAATGATAGGTCTCTATAAAGGGGACAGTAGATTAAAGAGGGGAAAATAGAACAAGTTTGCATTTTGAAGAGAAGGGTCTCTTGCAATATTCATTGGCATTTGCATGGAAACCCTTCAAGCCCTAGCCCAGGGTGCATGGCTGTCTTACCTCCCTGATCCGCTGAAGTACCTGTAGGGGCAGCCTGTCTGCTCCCCACAGAATTCTCGGGGCTTGTACCCAGGGAAGGGTTTCTTGGATACTTCCTACTCTTAACTAAAGCCTTCATTTGTATTGGGTGAGAATTTACTCTGGTGCTATTTCAGCCATTTCTTATCTATTGTGAAGTTTAATACAATTTAAACAAGTTCTCTCAAATTCTCTCATTCCATGCTACCACAAGGAGTTCTGAACACGTTGGTCCAGGCATTGTTCTGGATTATGGAGACTAATGGAAACTACCTTCACGATGTCATCAGAATGAAAAGGAGCTGAAGGCACAATAAATAGTCTTAACTCCTGGAAACTAGGTCTAGTGGGACTAGACCCCAAGTTCCCAAGGATGCTGAGGATGGAAAGTGATAGAAGAAACATTCACAGGGGTGGGGATGTTTGAAAGAGACTGTGGTTGAGGTGATGGGGTGGAGAGGAGTTTTCAGGGAGGGAGAGGGAAAATGCCTCAAAGCAACCCCTAGAGTTGGCTGAGGATGGCTGAGGGTCCCTGAAGAGGGGAACTTGTTTGGGATGTTGGCACCAATTTTGAGCAATGTCTGCCCTCTGTATGCCATGCCAGAAGCCAGGCCAGAGACTGATCATCACTTGCATAATCAGAAGAGCGTGTTCCAACTCTTTGGGGGGTAAGGGCAGCCCAGGTTTGCATCTGCCTGTGCATTCCACCTTGGAATGATTTCATCACTTGGCTGCTGAGGGCCTTTGAGTATTGGAATTCTGTATTCATCAGTTGTTAGGCAATCTGTTCAATATGAGGCAA